TGTGAAGCAAGGGGGTTGGACTACTCTCAGTTGGGAGGAACCAGAATAAACCTTTGTGTCTTATCTTATTATTTATTTGCTTATGTTAACATATTCCACTAAGTATAATCTAAATCTTAACACTAGTTTAGATTTTTAACTCTGATCAAAAATAAACTAAGAAAGTGAAAAACACAATCCAACCCCCCTTCTTGTGTACTTTTCTGTCTTTCATCAACTTGTCATTGATGGATGGCTTTGGTTAACATATAAATTTCATTATCTAAAGTGTGAACCTTTTCATGTAATATTTATTCAGATGCAAGTAACTCTCCGATCTTATGAAACCTAATTGTTTTCCAAATTAATGGCACTCAGACTATCACGATGCAATCGAACTCTATCTTGCTAAACACCAAATTCTCTCACCAATCTTGTAAATCATGATGGTTATTTGTTAACTTCATGTGCTTCCATGTACTCTTGTTCAGTCGTCGACATGGCCATTATGTATACCGATTATTTCTAATAAATGGGTCACCTTGCTATAATAAATATATACCTTATTGTAGACCTTTTATCATCCCTATCACCAGTATAGTCTAAATCAACATATCCTACAACTGAAATATCACCCTATTCACTTCTAAACGTGATTCCCTGATTCACTGTACCTTTCAAGTACCAAAAAATCCACTTGAGTACTTCCCAATGATGTTTGCTCTATTTTGACATGATCTTACAAACTTGACTTACAATTTGTATCAAATTTGGTCTAGTGCAGACTATTACACACATTAAAAAACCAACAACACCGTCATAAGGAACCTTTAACATATACTCAACTTTTGACATATACTCAACTTTTGCTTCTATCTTTGGATACTGGTCCAATGAAAGTTTAAAGTGATTCATAAATGGAGTACCCACAACCTTCGAATTACTCATGCCAAACTTGTCTAGCACCTTTTCAACATATATTTTATGAGAGAGCCATAATTTTCTGGCATTCATATCTATGTGAATTCCCATATCAAAAATATTCTTAGCAATACATAAGTATTTTATTTCAAACTTCTTTCTCAACAGGATTCTCAGCTCATTTATTTCATGTAAATGATTAGCAATAATCAACATATCATCAACACACAGTAACATGAAAATAAAAGAGACATCATCAAGGATCCTAACATAAACAAAAAAATAATACTCGCACCTTATGTAGACAACCTAAATCATGTATGAATCAAAGCGCTTGTACCATTTTCTTAAAGACTTCTTTAAAACGTACACGAACCTCTTTAATTTACAAACTATTATGTTGTTTCCAGTGTCATTGAACCCCTTTGCATGCTCATATAAGTTTTTTCATATAGATTATCTGAAGAAATGTTTTCTTCATATCCATCTGTTATAAATGCATGTTTCAGTTGGCTACCACAGATAACACAATCCTAGTAGAAGTATGTTTCACGACCAAGGAGAAAATCTCATCATAGTAAATCCCCTTCTATTGTGAATACCTCTTCGATACGGGGCAAATCTTGATTTTTCCCATTCATTTTTGTTACTGATGGTTTTCTCTTAAACCCCCAATTACAACCAATCACTTTTTTTCCTTTAGGAAGCTGAACAAGCTCTCATGCTTGATTTTTCTTCAAGAACTTAATCTCCTCCACCATTGCATCCATCCACTTATCTTTCTCATGGCTAGCTATAGGTTCTGAAAAGGTGGAAGGGTCTCCAGAACTAGTAAGAAATGCATAGGTTTTTAAGTATTCATACTTATATCTTTCTGGTGGATTAATTGAGTGGTGCTCTCTATCACATACACAAATGTAATATTGTATTCCAACTTAAAATTTAGGTCACTGGTCAATTTCAGTATCATATTCTAGTTTCTCTTGTGCTTTAGGCACTACCTGCATATTTTTCACTAGTAGCGGATCAACATCAACCTGAATCACCTATTTGTTGGAAGTGTCTCCTTCAGATGCTGACAAATCTACTAGAACTAACTACTTCAACATTAGTTACTCATTAAAAACAACTTATCTTTTACCATATTCTTTTTAATTGGACCCTATAACTTGAACCCCTTCACAACTTTTGTATAACACACGAAGACACATTTCTTAAACTGGATCTAGTTTGGATCGATCTTCACTGCATATATGCACATAAGCTAGACACCTAAAAATACTTAAGTTTTCAATATAAATAGTATTACATGTATATAAATCCTATGCAACATTCCCCCCCAATGAAGCTCGTGGTGACCTGTTGATAAGATAACACGCCATGTTATATGCTTCTGCCTATAAACATTTTGATAGTTCTGCATCTAATACGAGACATCTTTCCTTTTTAGATAGAAATTTACTCATTATTTATGTCATACCATCTTGATGTGGTGTCTTATGAATTGAGAAATGCCTTTGAATACCAGGTTCTTCACAACCTCTTAAAATTTTAGTCATTGTACTATGTCCCATTATTTGACCGCAAATACTTGATTTTCCTGCCAATTTGATTCTCTACCTCGGTCTTCCACAACTTGAAATTGGTAAAGACTTTTAGATTTATGTTTCACAAAATACACCAAAACTTTGCGAAAAATCATCTGTGAAAGTCACAAAATACCTGGAACCACCTATGTAAACCTCTTTGGTAGGCCTAAACACATCAGAAAGCACATAGTCTAAAATTCCCTCTGTTTTATGCTTTATAGTCTTGAATCAAACACGACATTGTTTCTCAAGTACATAATACTTGCACAAATTCATCTTGAAAGATTTCTCTTGTCAAGTTCCATCATCCCATACTCACTAAGATGACCCAAACACATATGCTCAAATTTGATTGCATTATTATAAGACTCAACTGATGCAATATCATATATAATAGTGTTCCCCAACAATTTGAAGATGTTACCCGCAATCCTTCTTGATCTCATCACAATCAATGCACCTTTTAAACTTTCATATTGTCTTTATCTCCATCAAACATGTAGGAGAAACCATTTTCTTGTAGACTACATAGAGAAATTAAGTTCTTTCATAATTCTTAAATATATTTGATGTCGTTCAGTATTTGCACATCATCATTTTCCGTAGAAATTTTAATTTGTACTGTTCAAGTGATAGTACATGCTTTATTATCACTCAGATAAACAAATCCAGAATTACCTGACCTGGATGTAGTGAATCATTCTTGATGCGACGTCATGTGGTAAAACAACCAAAGTCAAGAATCCATGCATATGTCCATTTGTTGGATGAAATACACAATATATTTGTTTTACCACTAGAACCATTAGTTTGAACCACATTTGTAGAACTAGATGAGCCCTCCTTTTTATTTGGACATGCCTTATTTGAATGCCCATTATGTTTGCAACTATAAAATGTAACTATTTTTTTATTCTTGGATTTAGACTTCTTCTTTACAAAACCTCCATTTCCTTTGTTCTAACTAAGATCTTGGCTCCCTTTCACATACAGACCAACACCTTGGGTTCCTTCCTCTACATTTTGTCTCCTTTGAGAATGAGACAAAAGTGTAGCACTAGTCACATCAAGATTGATAGTATTTTTTTGTAGGTAAGAGTAGTCATCAAATGATCATAAGAACATGACAACGAGCACAACAAGATAACTTCCTTATCTTCATCATCAATCTTCACCTCAAGCCTCACCAGATCGATATTATGTTGTTGAAGACATTGACATGTTGTTATAAATTGGATCTTTCCTGTATCTTTCAATTGTATAGTCGTTACTTTACAAGCAATTTATTCATCAACATCTTTGACATATATTGACTCTTAAATTTACCCAAAACCTCCTTCAATTAGGTCCAAGATAGGATACATCACCTAGACTAAAGCATATAGGAAATCAATCATGCATTCTTTTCCTTCATTTTTTTCCAATAAGTATCCTCCTTATCGTTTGGTTTCGACTCATGCACCTTCTGTAAACTTTGTTGAACCAACAACTTTTTAACCCTTCTTTGCCATAATTTAAAATTACTCGTCGCGTCAAACCTTGTTACTTGAATTTCACATAGAGTTAATCGTTATCTGATACAAATTATTAGAACAGCAAGCAGTATAAAAAATTTATAAAAAAAACAAAAATAAAAGACAATGAATAAGATCGATCTTTGTTAACATAGTTCGGTCACTGATGCCTATCTCTATGCCTATAAAAAAAACTATAGTTATCTTGATTTAATAATTAGAGTTATATTATTCCAGACAATATATGTAATACTATAACTCAATTTACTATAAAAATTCTAAAACCTTGTCACCTTACAATTATCTATCCACATCAAACAGTTGGACCCCAAAAAACCTGTTTAGAATATATAAATAGATCAACCCCTTAACAAAATGATTATGGGATTTCATGTAATGTAACTACCTCAATTGTCGGATCAACCCCCTAACAAAATGATTATGGGAGTTCATGAAATGTAAGTAACTACCTCAAAATAAAAGGTAAAAACCATTGTATAACAAGTGTCAGATGCATGGTGAAAGGTGATCAACCCAAGATTGAATCAGCTAAAGATTTTATCCATCTCTATTGATCAAAGTTGTCGTCATCTCAAATTCTCACTCAAAAGATGCTACAATCTTATCTTATCCATTAAGATATGCATATATGAGTATTGGGGGACCCTATGCAGATAGAGCTTTTTTTGGCATCATGATTCAATGAAACTCCACTAGAAAAAAAGAAAGATAATTGAACAGGGAAAGTTTATTTGATGATTTAATTTCATGTCCCTAGTAGTTGAAAGAATCATACATCACTAATTCCAAAAGTGGTCAAAATGTTGTTGGGGGTGGGGGACATAAATTGAGTACATTTTTCATACCCAAAAAACTTGAGTTCATATATTTATAACAACCTTAAATCATTGTTTTTGTCATTTCTATCAACCAAATTCACCCTCTTTGTGAAAATTCATCTTCCTTAAATTTCAAACCCTTTGAGACCCTTTTCAAAATGACAACAAAGGATATGAAAGTTCAAATTTCATCAAGAAATGAAGTGATGCAAGGTAGTGGAGTAATGGAGTATAATGGATCACATTCACAAGGTGGTCTTTTGAGACAACCTAGTATGAACAAGAACAACTGTTTATGCTCTCCAACAACACATGCTGGTTCATTTAGGTGTAGACTTCATCGCACACCTAGCCTCACAAGGACAAAAAGTATGGAGTCATCATCATCATCTTCTCATGATCAAGCCTCTTTGATTCATGCTTCTGTTGTTGTTGCTAATGGTGATGCCAACAAGAACTAGATCTTTTATTCATGTTCATTATCATGATGCTGCTTTTGTCCACTCTTTACTTGTGTTACATTTAGTATCTTATCAGCTATTTTCTCCTTTGTTGTTTTAATCACCTATAATAAGAACTTTTTCTGTCTCACAATTATCTGATTATGACTTGAGAAGATGCATGATTCTTAAAATTAACAACTCATGTTTTTTTAAATTCCTTACCCGGTCTTAGAACCGACTATTCCAAAAGACCAATCTCACCATACCGTCCATTTGCTGAAGCCCGATTTAAAACTAGACCAAAACTCTATATAAACTAACTCAACATGAATTGACCATTTAGCATCACAATAAAACTCTTAATAAACAGACTTGAACTTTGAGACCTTAAGAGAATCAAACTCTATTAGAAAATTCGTGATCCTCACACAAAACAAGTAGTTCAACTACACCAACTACTTTTCATATGTATTATTATTATTATACATAAATAATACTACTTAGAATCAAACATATCATATCAATGGAAGATCTTATTCTTTCTTGTACAGAATCAAATATAATCCGTATCATCCTATTACTGTTTTCTGAGTATGATTGATCAAGAAAACAATAAATACATGTTGAACCTTAAACTTATGTCACAACTCACAACAACACATCAAATGTTAATAATATAGGTGAATACTAATTCCTTAAGGACAATAGATACAAATCAATAAGACAAATGTAATCAGACACTATTACAGTATTGAATTATATGTCACAGACACATGAAAATACGAATTTTTTTGTCAAGACATAAGTGTTGCAGATTTGTAGACAAACACAGAAGCATTGGCCCCATTGTTTGTCACTCACACCTAAGATTCCTATTCCTTTATCAACTTTTCATGAGAAAAAGTTATTACCAATGAGATTTTCCTTCAAAATTATTATTATTATTATAGGTTACATTAACAATGCACATACATTAAGAGATTCTTGGATTCTCCTAAAAATAACTAACAGAACTCAAAACTCATTCACTTGGTAGACCATAATTTGCTAAGCATTTTTTTAGGTTGTGTAGGAAGAGCACAAATGGACTTAAATCTAGAGTTTCTTCCGATTCCACCATCATTCGCCAAACCATTTTCAGCGAACTCATCATGATCCTCAGCTAGTTTCATTCTTAGAGTTGTTGACCTTAGTTTCGGTGACTTGAAGCCAGAAACACTCCAATTATCCTCACCCTGAATGCTTGTAGTAGTGCTTAACTGTGCTGTTGTGTGTTTTGATGGATCGATACCATGTGTTGTAAGCAATGCTTTGATATTGGTTTGTAATTCAGTTACTTTACCACCTGATGCTGCAGCTCTAGCTTGTTCGAAAAAGAGAACTTGCACAACAACTCTTAAAGGGAGTAACTCATTTTGTGCTGCATGCATGCATGCTTCCATTGATAGTTTTTTGCAGTCAAGAATTCTGCATAATCTTTTCCTTTCACTCTTGTTGAGTTCTGGATGAGCCTGAGTAGATGTTTCAAGTTAATCAACACTTAAATTTCAGTTATATTTCTGATTGAACGTGTGTCTAGTGTCTGACACTGGCACGACACATAATTTATGCGTATTTTATGAAGGTATAATACGGAGCAACTTGAAAAAAACTAGGAACAGAAAGAATTTTAGTAATATTTTTTTACCTTGAGATAAATGTCAATGGCCCTGTAGAGATCATCATGATCATGTCTTGCAAATTCCGGTATAATATCAGCTAGAGTGATGAATTTAGACAATGAAAAATTCACATCTCTTGCAACTTCTTGAAGGTACCTATCAACAAGCTTTGCCACTTTCAATTTTGAGCTGTGAGAAGCTGAAGAGGATCTCCTACTCTCTTGTAATTCAAAGTTAATATTCTCGGCCGATCGAGACCGTCTCCTTTCAAAGGTCTTCAAGGATCTTTGAGGACTTGTTGGAGGACTCTGTCCTTGTAACATGAACTGTTCCAATATAGTCATCACCAACTCAACATCATAGACGGTATCATTTGTATAAGAAAGTGTAGGTATTAATAGATCATTCACTGTTGCTTCCTCCAATTGAAGTCCTACCCTTCTTGCTAATTCCATCTTTGAAGACGAAGAAGAATTGAGAATATTGGAAGCTTTCAAGAGTTTCAAAAGAAAGCTACAAGAAACAGCGCCTTTTTCGGTTGGAAGCAAACTTACTATTGACTCCAAGAGTAGCCTATGCTTTGAAGTTTTTTCGCTGGCTGAGTCTGATTCAGACTCAGCCTGCGAAACATTCTTCTTTCTATTTCCGTTCTTGGAAATATTTGGTAACCATCTCGATGCATAAATTTTCAACGCATCGCCAATGAAATTTGAAGGAACCTTGCCACCAGATTTGATTGCTATCATTGTTCTCCAATAAAGATCTATGCTAAGTTCTGCTAAATCTTCAGCCCACCATCCTTTGCTTCCGGATTTGGTTCTCAAACTTTCAGTATCATTGCAAGATATATCATCTCTCACTCTTCTAGAATGACTATGCGACAAACTCACCTTTGTAGGGTGCCTCAAGACTTTCGACGCAATAATTTCAATACATCTGCTTGTAATTCCCAAGTCTTCAGACCACAAATGCAACGCTTTTGTGGTCTGAAGACTCACTATGGTATCCTTCCATCCGTGGAGGATGCAAGAATTGAAGAAAACTTCAAGCTTGTGAATCAAGTTTCCTTTCTCAACTTCCTCGGTCATTTGGAGATATTCAGCAGCACATCTTGCAGCTACAATGTTGTAAGGACTTAGAGTGATGGTGATTCCATAGCAGAACTTAGCACACACCTCAAATGCTTCTACTCCACCAGGAAAATCAGGAAGTTGAACTATTTGGTGATGAGATGAATCAGGAGGTGATTCTGAGCATAGTCTTTGCAAGCATAAGCATTTTGACAGCAGAGGAAACTGAAAAACACAGTTTGAACTTCAGATAAGTTACCAAAGTAAAAACAAAAGTACCTTCTAGCACACAAACACAAAGACCAGACACAAAACTGATAATGACATGTTGACACTGGTCTTGTCAAACACCGGATAAACTTTCAATCTGAAGGGTCGGAGCTACATAGTACATATAATTGAAAAAGAAAAAATAAAAGAAAAATAGTAAGATTGTTATGAATTTGATGAGTTTCTTCTATTTTCAAAGAAAATACCTTGTGAAGAAGATATCTACTTCCCCTTACTTGAATTATGAGGTCACTAGAAACTTCAGACGAGACTGACCTGCAAACAAACAAGATAAAATCATATTATAAAACTATAGAACCAAAAAAACATGCATCATCTAAAAAAAAAAAATCAATTTTGTTGTTGTTAATGTCTTACCTTATGGACTCAGAAGTGTAGAAAGTATCTGGACGAGATCCAAGTTTCATGAACTTCATGGCTTTAAGGTTCTTACCCTCTAAATCATGTGTTAACCAAAAACACTAGTTGCATAATTCAGTGTGGCAAGTAAAAGAAAAAGAGGAAAGAAGTAATTCACAAATACCAAGATGAAAGAATATTTGTTTAGTTGCTAGCAATGGATTTTTCTGACTAGCCAAGCTCAAGTGGACACTAGATGATGATACTGAACAGACAGAGTTCTCAGTGTGTGTGTGTGTGTGAGGATTTCAAGAAAAGTTGAGAATTGCTAGAAATATAAAAAAGGAGGAAAGATAGAATTTCTTTGGTGGAGAGAAGAAGGTGTATAATTTCCAAGAGGAGAGGAAAGGAAAGGTAAAGCAAGAGGCTTTGATGTTGTTGGAGCAAAATAATAATAATAGTAGTTTAAATAGGTAGGATAGATGACATAAATGGTATGAAAGAAACATATAAGATCAAACACACCTAAGTTATGTCCTTTCAGTCAAATAGTTAATATTAAGTGATCTTGACATTTAAATAAAAAATACCAAAGGCCATGTAATTTTGGAAAATAGATTTTCTTAAAGGAATTCTATTGTTATTTTTTCTTCATGTCTTTTAGTTTTCACCATTCTTCTCTCTACTTTTAGTTTATTGTAAAATTTCTCTATATATATCAAATCAAATTATTTTGGTTTAGATTTTCTCTCTATTGTGTTTACTGATTTAATGACAAGCTGTCATCCTTTGGACCACCTCTGCAGCTTTAACATCTTCAGCCGACTTTTATGTTGCTTTTTAGCATTTTGATATATGACAATTTTCAAACATGTTTTCTTTTTCTTTATCACTCGAGGTTATAAGACATATTTTTACAATTATTCACCTTGAATTTAAATCAACGAGATGTCAATTTACTCAATAACCACCTTATTGCTTTCTACCAAGTTAAACTCACTATTTAACAACCTTGTTCATGTCACGTTTGAACCTTGATCTTTTTGCTTGTACCAACTTGCTTCCAAACACCTTTTTCCTACTTTGGCAATCTAAGCATGGTTCTTCAACCATATTTGACTTCACTTGTTTTTGAATGTCTCCCTAATATTCTCTATTTATGAATTTTGCAACCCTTCAACCACATTTAAAGCATAACATTCAATGTCAATATAAATGTAACTTTGAAATGGTACAAATGCCTCTATAATTATTTTCGCACTACTACTAGTATCCATAGGAGGAACCTCCGTCTCAAAATGAGTATTCTCTACTATAGTTTCTAAAATTTTCATCTCCAAATCTTTATTGTTCCTCCTTAGCAAGATTTGCTCAAAGTAATACATTTGTGAATGATGAACTTTGATCCTACAAGTTCTACTTATTACATTTCATAACCATTTACACCTTAAGGATAGTCATTGAAGACATAATCTTTAACTTTACGATCAAGTTGAATAAGGTCGGTTTGATCAATAAGTAAAGTTTTGACGAACTTCAAATAAGAATAGATTTTATATTTTCTTCTACAAATCATCATAGGTGTCTGGAAGTTTATCCATGTAAGTGAACATCTACTGACTAAGTAAGTAATTTGACCATCAACCTTACTACAAAAACTCAACGATAACTCAGCGGTCAAATACTTTTTATCCCCTGTCTCTTACAAGCTTATTAAAAAACTCTGAAACAATCTTCAAACATCCACCATGCCTTGACCTCAAATCTAATAGTTTGTTCTTGCTATGAAAGTCTCACTGGTTGAAGACAAGTGAACAACAATATTGGAACCTTCTAAAATATATAATCCACATATTTTAGACCCTTTAACCATGATCTCTCCATAGAAAATATTATACACCCCATGTTCAACTCTATTGCAATAGCTTAGATCATCAAACATGTTTATGGATATCAATTTTTTCCTGAGCTCTACAACATACCTCATGTTTTGAAAAGAACTCATGATCATTGAACACTTTAAGTTTGACTGTACCAATAACATAAATCTTAAAAGCCTTATTGTTACCAAGGAAAACTACATCATCTTACTTGAGCTTCAAAGTCTCAGTATTCTTTTCATGGACACATGTGATAAGAGAACCCTGAGTCCATGACCTAACTCTCTTCACTCTCCAAACTCAAAATCACTAGTGCACCAGCATTCTTATAAGTATCCTCATATGAGCCAATTGTAATATGAAAAAAATCATCACTTCCCTTTCTCTTGGGAAAATACCTAATGAAGTGATTGGTTTTCTGACAATTGAAGCATTTTAAATTTGACTTGTCAAAAAAATTTTATTTTGACATCCCACTACGATCACTTTCTCCTATTGAGACCCTCAAGTCTTCACCTCTATCGTAAATATTTAAATTTGTCAACTTTTAAATTTACTTGAATTTTACAACCATCTAGACTTCATACAAAGTAAGAGTACCTTCCTTGCCATAAAGAATGACATGATTGAAATGCTCAAAAGATCTGGGTAATTATCTTAACAAGAGTAGAGTCGTGTTCCCATCATCAATCGTCAACACAATATTCTCCATATCACCAATTATCTTGTGAAATTTTTTAACTGATCCACTATGAATTAATTCTCTACCATTTGAAATGAGTATAGTTGTTATTTCATTCATAACCTGCGAGTTAAAAACTTGATCATATACAATGATTCAAGTTTTTATGCATCGAATCTATAGTCTTCTCCCTAGCGATACCCCTTATAACTTTATCCTTGAGGCACAAGATAGTAGCATTTTTGGCCTTATCCATCATCCTGATATTCTCTACTTGTGTTAAGTAGGTAGGCATTGATGTTTTAGTATTAAATGCTTCAATACACTTTTATTGAGTTAATATTCCTTTCATATTCACTTTCCACAATATCAAATCGCTGCCTCTGAAAAATATCTCGATCTTACATTTAGAACTCATGGTGCTCACTTATAAACAAAATTCATTTTTCTTATGGTGGGAGCTACTTATTGTGAGAAAATAATAGAATGATTCAAAGCTATTGGAAGAATTATTTAGAGTCCAAATACACCAAGAAAGTTAATGTGTGGGGACAAAGAACGATGCAACAAAAATAAATGGCCTGAAGAAACACAATAACTTGTTAAGAATAAAAGATAAATACATAACAAGACAGAAGAAAATAAAGACAAGAAACATAATAACTTGCTTATCCAGCTCGATCAAATAATTTACACTAGAGAAGAGAGTAAGTCTCAAATTTATTATACTTCCAACAGTTGTTACAAGAGATTACAAAAGAGTTACAATAAAATAGTCATCAAAGTTCCCACAAACAAACTTTATTTTCTACCAAAGTTTTTCCAGACCTCTCCAACTCTCTACATACGAATCTCACAAGCCCAAGGTATTTAGAAGTGTTTCTCAATCATTTTAGATACCTTCAAGGGTTTTTCAAATTCCAAAAACACAATCATAAAATTTTTTACCCTTGTCTCTCCATGTCTCCCATAGGATTGCCACCTCCTTCCTTTATCTTTCAAGCTACATTTGAAGTTTGCAAAGACAAGAATGATAGAAATACATATTTATAAATATTGAAACCCAACGTATCCTTAACATATTCAAAACACAACCCATTAATTATTTGAATAAAAAAAGATTATAAATATCTTATGAGATATCCTTTATATTAATTTAGAGTATCTTATAGTATCTATAAGTATCTTAGAGTATCTCTAAATTAATATAAAAATATTTATTATATTCTAACATTAATGAATAGATTTGCTAACCAAAACAACCAAGCTCGATACCTGTTAACCGCTTAGATTGGACCATTGCACATTGGACTCCTCTAGTACATGTCGAACTCCACTACCATCGTGGGTCCCGTTGCAAAGTGTTTGTTGTTGCATCATTCGGTGTCACGCACCTATGAAGTCCTGAATTTTTAACTTGACTTTTCTACTCCTTTTTGTCATTCTGATTTTTTAAAATCTCGAAACATGATAAAATACGAAGCTAGAAATGCACGGTTCAATACCTAACAAGGGTGTAAATAAAATATTAAAAATTAGATACAAATAATTGTCACTAAAAAATAACAATGACATGATAGTCATATCCTAATATGTGTTTGGTGTGTTAGAGCAAGATTTGTTCATAACATTTATTCCTTGAGTTTTGTTGATAACAAAGTATTAAAAGAACAATTGTTATATTTGATGTGTGTTTCATGTATGCAGGTTCTAATACTTGTAAATATATATTTAGAATCTGATATACAAGGGCACACTTGAGAGAAGCTTAATTGCTAGCTTCTGGTGGTGTAGAGTTTGAAGAACACTCTCTAAGTGATGTCTGGCGTAGACTGTGAAGCTGAAGGTCTCGGCATTAGAAGAAGCAACATAATTGTCTCTAAACTTGGTGAATGTAAATTGGCTTCTGTTGATCATTCAGAGTTAGTGATAAAGCTGAAGCTATTCGTACTGCAAAAAGCAAACTGCATTGTCAAATCAGTTTATCTGCTAGAGTCTTAGTTCACAAGGCTCAAGAAAAGCTGACATGCTTTACGGATATCTACTCTCAATAGCTCTATAGTACAGGATCTCTTTAAAGACTCGATGGTTAAACACTTTACACAATGGATCAAAATCTTTTGGTGTATCTATCATCAACATCTCTTATACTATGGAGAAAGCAAAGACACTTGATCAAGTTATCTCTCCAACGGCTAGTCTTCTGCAAATGTTATATAAATAGTTGAAGGTTCAAACTGAATCTTTAACAAGGATCAACCGGATGGAGGAGTAACAAGATCAACAATTATCAATACAATTGGTTATGAATAATTTTTGGTGTAGGTTGTAATTGTAAAAGCCTTAGGATTTCTTAAACATTGAATATCTTAGAAATCTTAAGAGCTCTAGGTTTTTGTTATGGTGATTTCCTTGTACCTCTGATATTTGTATCAAGTACACCTTGTTCTCCATTCTTCTGAACATGTTGTTTAGTAGTTTAGATCCAAGTCTCTCGCCAAGATGCTTGAGTCAT